CGCAGATACCCTTTGAGCCGTGGTGCTGTCCCAGGTGTGGCTGGCCGGGGAGGGACCTCGGGAGGTTGGCTCCAGAGCATGCCCGACCCATCTTGCCCAGTCCCACCCTGCTGGTCACCCTCTAATTAATTTCCTTTCAATGTGTATAAATCTGTGCACTGGGGCACTAGTATAGAATATGATCTTGTCACAAAAAATAATCCAAGGGGATATAGGTAGAGCAATTCTACCCAAAGACTGAGAATCACTTTGAGTCCTTTCAAAAAATTCTACTGCCTTCTTCTGGAGCAAATTCCCAGCCCTGGGGCGAATCAAACTTTAACTTGCCTATCTAAATAAGTAGCCAAAGGCCTGGTAACTTCTCATGAACAACTCAGTGAAGCCAGGTGGGTTCCTGGGATAGCTCAAAGCCCCCAGACCAGGAGACAATACTTCTTTTTCTTTTTATCTAGGCAACAAATAGATGTGTTCTTTCTGATGATAAACAGGAAAATACCTGAAGGGAAAGGCCTTCTCAATGCTGTGTTGGCCCACTGACATGAGGAGCGCATTTCTCTTATGTCTCATTGTTAGAAAACAACGTTCTGATGGTTTTTATCCTTGTGTGGCTAGTACACATTCCATCCTAGATCCCTTCCTCAAGATGGTTAGCATGACCTCAGCATCCTGTTCTCCCTTTCTTCCGGCTGCAGAATTCACCGGATGCTTCTTTTGGCATCCAGACAGCTGCCAAGTATGTTCCTAGACCATCTTCATAACAAGGTGAACAAGTCTTACAGAATGTTTTCATTTACTCACCCAACCATCACCTTCCTGAATCAACCCCCTTTGCCAGAAAGATAAATCACCATGTCTTTTAAGACAGTGGAAAGTAGCATACCTCCTTCCCATCCATGTATCTACAAACCCCTTCTTTAGATAAACACTCTTCTAATTTAGTCAGAGTTAAAAAAAAAAAAAGCTGGGAGGAGGTATGATATATTCCATGCAGCTCTTTAAAAAAAAGTAATAAGGGTACTAATATTTTTAGAAAACTCTAGAGCCATCTCATTTCTGAAATTACGTACAGGATATTCATGTTGCTATTAAATAAGCAGATAATCTTTATCTGCTAATAAAAAAGAAACATCACAAAAAAATAAAACACAGCAGTTTACTGCCAGAGGACTGTGACAGTCTTAACAAGTTTTCAGGAAAATAAAATACCAGCAGATAACAGGTATTATGTTTTCTTTTGGCAAATTTTAACACTTCACAGCTAGCATATCTTGCTTACTTAATTGGACCTATACAAACTCACCAGGCCTTTTCACTCGCAGCCATTGAAATGCTCCCAATTTGCTCTTTACAGCTTTTCAGAGCCTACATGGGAAAACAGCTCCACAACAGACTGGCTGAAAAGATTTTTAAGGTCTCATGTCCATATTTACAGATCTTGCAATCTGTGTGTATTCATTGATTTTAACACAAATAAAGGGAATAAATCAGGAGCTCCTTTGGGGGAAAAAAAACACACCACAATGAATTTGAGAGAAAAAGAACAAAGTATGTCTGCTGAGGCCACTCTCAGATGGTCTCTAGAGCCTTCCCTCACTGCAACCCTGCCCCAACAGAGTGCACTGCTATTTCTCCAAGCTCATGTGGAAGCTAGTACCTCTCTATCAGTGCATTCCTCACCTAGATTATTGTCTGTGTCCTGTTTGGGCTTAGATGGCTGTATTCATGACTGGATTGTGAGCTTCTCCAAGGTAGAGGTGGTATTATATTCCTGTTACCAGCACTTGGCCTACACTAAGTCTGAGTACATATTTGTTAAAATTGAGTGGGAGACACAGATAAAAAAGGAGGAAAATAGAAGGATGCCAGAGCAAGGGGGAATCTGAGAGAACAGTGGGAGAAGTCTTCAGCTTTGGGCCAGTGGGCAAGTGTGATAATGGAGAGAACAACCAAGAAGATGGCCAGGAAAGATCCAGAAAGTCCCAGGACAGCCAAAGAAAGACTGTTAGTCTCATGGACAAAAATATATTTTCTTTTAAAAAATAATCATAGGTCTTAATCAAGTGATTGCTTTCATCATTTTGGCTTAAAGACTTTTGTGAGCACACTCACATTCTTTCAGGCCTATTTTAAAACTAATTTCAATGTAGTTATTAGGTAACTTATCTTCCTAATTTCCTTCTCCACAGTTCAGAAGTTCCCCAGTATCATGTGACTGGGAATATTTGTTAGGCCTCTCAATAGGACTTTGGGGGTTCTGACCCAATGAAAGTGTTTTTTGATGACAAGTCCATGGGATGATCTTGTTAGAGAAGCCGAACTAACTTGGTGCTTACTGAATCGACTGGAATTAATGCTGTAATTTTAGAATTTTGGGTCAGAAATTTTGAGGTCAACCCGGAGAAGCACCTAGGGCCCTCTCTTGGGCCCCACTCCTCCCCTGAGTGGACTATGGATCAGATTTTAACAAGTGATGCTAAAGACCAGCATGATTCAGGAGCCACAGTCTCATTCATAAAAGCTGCCTTGTTGGGTCTGGCGGACTAATAGGAATGAAATGTTAACTTTCTAAACTTGCTTTCCTAGATCTCTCCAAAAGTAGCAAGACAACAGTGCGATTTCTCAGGCCTATGCTGGACAAAAGATACTAGTGTTTTTCCTTGGCTTGGGGAGAGAACAGGAAAGGACGCTGAGATGCTAATCCCTGGTTTGGAGTATCTCAGGCAATGACAAAGAGCTCTCGTGTTTTATGACACAGCATTTACCAAGCATCCCTTTGGGAAGCCCTTGTTCCCAATTGTCTGGGAAGCATAAAATCAGGCACTTTTTGGCAATACTCAACACATCTGAGCATGGGAAACACAAATTAAAATAGAGATACTTCTTTACTCACTAGCTTGTGTTTCTACTTATACTTTTACTTGGCATAAAAATAGAATCATTAAGGTAGGAAGAACCCAAGTGTGTAGATATCTAACTCAGGTTTGGTGAAGGTCAGAGAACACTTTAAGTCTCATGCAGGTTAAGTATTTTCATCCCTTCAGCTTCTAATGAAGAGATAAAATAAAATTAGGTAAAAAAAAGCAGGACTGCTTACTCTAAAATTACTTGTGTTCTGTTTCTCATAGTGGTTTTGAGATGGAGGACTTTTCAATGCATTGGGCATGGTGTTCCCTTTTGGTTTTGGGGAAACTACTTCCCTTTATTTTATTGCTTGCTTGTTTGATTGAGGGAGCAGAACTTCTCATCAAAGTCAGTAAGTCGACCTCAATTAAGTTAGAAATAGTGAATGGTTCTCTCCATTGTTATTCTGGAGAATTGTTTTCTTCTGCTACTGAGAATATCAGTGACCAGTTGCCTCATCACTGCTAATGTCATTCTGTTTAATTCAAATGTCTGTAATCAAGCCAATAAATAGCTGTTTGTTCTGACTTATAGCCGCAAGATGCCTATCTCTGGAAGAGGTGGGAGCCATTTGGTAGAAGGCTGCCAATCCTTACTATGCCTTTCTGATGAGTGTTTTTAAAGTCTATCGCACGTGGAAGAACCTACTGGTGCTGGGAGTTTTATATGCTCTGCACAACAGTGCTGAATGCTCTGACAGGCTCTTAAACAGCAGTGGGAACGTGCTGAGGGCCGCACACAGGAAGCCACAGCACTGAAGTGAACACCAGAGGCAATCAGCTCAGTCACCGGACTCTGCTCTTCCAACCCTGACCTTGTGAGCATAAATAGGAGTGTGACCATCAGAAAACTTTTCAAAAACAGGTTTGCCCTTCAAAAGAGCTGGTGTCTTTAGTGGCCACCAGGAATAAGAGAGTTCTTTATATGGTTCTCAAGAAAGCACTAAGAACTGTAGCAGAAGGCAGTGGTCATCAAAGAGGGTGAGTGAGAGCTGGCTCACGAAGAGGCTGTCACTATTACCACACAAGCTCTGCTCCAGCAATGATGGCAGAATGAGAGCTAATGTTTATTGAACACCAAAACCCAGTCTCTGGCACTATTTTAAGTATGTGACATATACCTTTTAAAAAATTTGATTTTTAGAGAGAGATGAAGGGAGAGGGAGAGAGCAAGAGAGAGAAAAACATCAATGTGAGAGTGAAACATTGAATGGCTGCCTCCTGCATGCCCATACCGGGGATTGAGGCCCCAACCTGGGCATGTGCCCTGATTGGGAATTGAATCGAATCGGTGCACTGGATGATGCCCAACCAACTGAGTCACACTGGCCAGGGCAACATGTACTTTTAATCAAACTCTAAGCACCCTCCTCTTGGGCATTTTTGTGGATGCTCAAGAGTCAAATGTATTTTGTAAGTACAGCTTTGCCTTCTTGAAAATGATAGGAGAATGAATCACTATCCTGAAAAAAACAAACACAAAGTTTACCTCTCTAGAGGTCAAAATATTCTTTTCTGTTCCCAAATGCTGAAGGATTGGTAAAGAGAATCCTCTAATACAAAAATTGCCCTTGCCTCAAAATAAAATGATCTTGGAGTCTGGTAAGATCAGCAAAATCTGAATTGTTCAGGTGTGATGTACAAACAATTGATATCTCTGAAGACAACCCTTCTGAAATGTACTCTAATACCCATTTTTCAAAGGCTTAATGACTTACGTTGCATGTTCCATTAATGTTTGCCCAGATGTCTGAGACCCAAGATGGAGGGCAAAGATTAGGGTGCAGTAGATGATGACAAAGATTCCTTGTCCCCTTTAAAACAGCAAACATCTGCTCCCCTCCAAGTTGGTATACAAGTCCAACAGGGAGTAAATATGAGAGCAATTAAAATGAACTACTGTGCATTAGTGTGGTTTGATTTATGTGAACAACTTCTGTGGGAGAGGGTCTGGTGGACTAATAGGAATGGAATGGCTGTGGTTGGGGTAACCCAAATATAACGATATATTTAGATCATCCTTGGCCATGTTCTTCTGCTCTAAACTATCTCAGTAAAGATACTAGTAAATTCAATAATTGGAGTTAGGCATGGGCTTACCCAGTGAAGGTCATAATCAGATGGCCTTGCTCTTCCTTCGTCATCCTCATATAATGTGAAACCTTCCCTCCGAGCCTGATAATACTCCTTCCGCAACTTCTGGATGCGATCAGCACCTCCACTCATGGGATAGCCACTACAGAACACAAACAAACAGGGTCACACAGTGCATGTCACCCTGGAAACTCACTTTTTGATCTTCTTGTTAAAGGAGCTGACATCTGCATTTAGAAGATTCAATAATGTCAAATATGCTAGGAAAACTGTGAAATCAGTAATAACAATGAACAAAAACCAGTCCTGACATGCATACCTTTAGCTTCAAGGGTCAGAACATCTGACTTGAGCTTAGTAAATGCCTTTTGAGTGAGAAGGTAAGAAAAGGTCCTGACCTTTAGAGCAATTAAAAGAGCCATCACATTTTTCTTATAGTCACACCCACAAAACTTGGTTACATTTTCATGTGGGTATCTCATTTTCTCAACTAACTATTGCCTATTTGAGACCAGTTGCTTGACCTGAAGATTGGATGTGACACAGAGTTGGCATGTGCCAGTGTTCAATTCAATGAGATTCATACATTTTTAGAGTGTGGACGGGTGAGGTACATGTACATGTCAATGTGTAAGCCATGCCAAAAAGTAAAAAAGAAAAAGAGAAAGCGGGTGATAGTAGAACGTGTCCACTTGTTTAATAGTCCAAGGTTCTCTCTACCACTTCTTCCTCTCAGGAATTATAGATTCTCCAGTGACCCATCCACTAAACCCCAAACTGGTCAGCCAGTGGCTCCATTTTAGCTAGTATTTGTCTCCCTCATTTCAATAGAATCAACATCATGAGATACAATTCAGGGCTAGGAAACAAGAAAGGAATGATAGGCAGAACTCACAGTTGTTCAACTTCTTTGGTTCATCTGAGGTATAACTGAGAGCCCTATTGTGTCAGACCTTAAGTTAAGATCTGGGAAAGTAAAAATGGACAATTCACAGTCCTTGTCTGCAAAAAGCTCACAGTCTGGGAGTTAGGGGACAGATAGTGATAAAGACTACAACCCACTGTGACAGGTGCTATAACAGAGTCTGCACAGTGAGGAAGCAGACTGCTTAGTAAACTTAGACAAGGTACTCAACAGTTGGGGGAGATGAGGAAATTCTGGACAGAGGAAAGGGCAGTGTAAAGGACAGAAATGAGAAAGCATCTTGCTTTGGGGAATGCAAGTAAGTTATTTGGGGCAAGCAGCGGTCTCAGCTTCATTTGTCCTGCCGCATGCGCATATCAGGTGGCATATGCTCTCTTTCCTCACTTATTGAGGAAGCACAGTAGAAGAAACATGCGTGTGTTGGTGAACTGGGACATTTTGAATTTACTTTAGTGACAAAAGCATATCCCTTGCAAAATTTGGTATTTTAACTCAATTTGTAACAACAACCATAATGACACTCGTATTTCATGAGTCTGTAAGAATCACTGCTTCAGTATACAGAGCATAGGGGTGGAGCAGGAAAGAGAGACAGGTGTGACTGAGAAAGGTAAGTAGGGGCCCCATTGTGAAGAGCTTTACATGCCCCAAACATCCCCCAATATTACAGTTGAATTTTAAGTTTAACTAAGATATAAAATAAGACCTCTGAAAGCAATAGAAAGAGGTCACCTACTATTTTGTTAAAACACCTAAAAATTATACTTGTAAACTATAACAAGAAAATGATGATTAAACACCTTTTGGAGGAAAAATATTCTTGCCAAACTAGATTGTAAGTTAATTAAAAGCAGGACCACTTGTTGATATCTTCCAACCTCTCTACAAAGTTAGTATCTGGTTCTAGGCTTTCTACGTACCATATACACTGAGTAGCTGATGCCTTTGATTAAGAAAAGACAAACCTTTATAGATCACATACCTTTATATTTTTTCAATATGTATTTCAAAACTCCCAAATAATTCTGTTTCTATACCATGCTTTTCTTTTTTTTAATAGAAGTTTTTCTTGAGCACTTGAAAAAAAGTTGGAAGGCCTGATATGCTTTTCCAAACTACAGGAAGCTCTCTGGAACGGCTGGCCTCACTCCTCAGTATGAGGAGCTATGATACCCGTATCCAATGTGCAGTGTCTGCTGATTATGTGAAAGCATGAGCCGCAGTCAAACTCACCAGATAAGTTTAGTGAACACAGTGCAAACATCACATACATAATCTATTATTTTACCCAGAGAAACTGAAGCACTGAATTCAAGCAGAAAGAAGTCATCAGTAATAAAGAAAAAAGAAACTGATTAAGGCATCATTTTAAAAAACACAAAACCCACCACTCTCCTATATTTGTGGTGGAGAAAGAAAACATACTCAGACTGTAAACTATTCTATATATCTATAAATACATAAATTTTAAAATATGGGTTCAATCAGATTTTAGTTCTCAAAGAGAGGGATTGGGGCAAGAATACAAAATCAGCTGTTTAGGATTCAGAAAATCTCTTATGGTTGACAGGAACATGACTATTTACCCAGAAAAGAAATCTGGCCTCAGAGAAAAAAATAGGAAAAAAACCCACTAGAAAGTCATGGACCATCTCAGTGCAAGACAAGCTGTCCCTTCTCCCTCCTGTGGATATTTTAAAGAAGATATGGACACCGTACACACCTGTCCTAACCTGGAACTACATCTCAACATTGTCTCTTCTTTTTCTTTTCCTCTCCAACCCCCATTCTACTGTTAGTACCTGTATCATATTTTTTTCAAGTGGGTGTTTTATATAATAAAATAGGAACAGCAAATTTTGGGTTCATATTTTAGCTCTTCTCTGCAGATAATATACAAAAGCTCACCATCACATCAATAAAAGTGATATACACAGCTATTGTTACCAAAACAGTTAATTAATTCCATTTTGTGTTGAGGATGCAGAAATGTGAAAATAAATATAAAAATACCATTGTCATAATAGCAACAATAATCATAATAGTTATAATTGATAGAAACTTACATAGTAAATATATTGATACAGACTTTTATTTACCCCATTTTCTGCCCAGAGCAGACATCACTAATCAATTATAGCATTCTTTCCCAGAGACCCTAAACATGATCTTAAGATCCTTCTGAGAACTTCAGAAAGCAACTACCAATCTGCAAAAGCTGGCACTTGAGTTTATTTCCAATTCTTGTGTAACAGGTGCTGTAAATAGCTCAATATATCAAATAAAATGGAAAGGTGTTTTTTTAAAATATATATATTTTTTATTGATTTCAGAGAGAAAGGGAGAGGGAGAGAGAGAGAGAGAAAAACACCAGTGATGCTTCCCTCATAGCCCTGGCTTCGTCCAGAAGGTCATCCAGAAGGACATCTGGTCTAAAGAGCATATTATGCTTTTATTATTATAGATATATTAGAGACTGGGTCCGCAAGCCACATACTAGCCCAGAATGAAAGTTAACCCTAGCCTTAAGAACTTACTTTCTGAGGACTCCTACTTTCCTTCCTTTATTCCATATTATCTGTTTATTTTTCTGGCTTTATGGGACTTAGCAGTAGTGATTCTAGAAAATATTTTGCCTAATAGCTTCAGAAGTGATGTCAGATTATGATGGAACTCAAATATTCTTGCAACCAAATAACATCAGGTTATAACCCCATCTCCACGTTGCTGGATAGAAAATTTGCCTTTCTGTATTAATTGTTCACTGGATAAAGTTAGCCATTTTATAAAAAGAAAGGTTCATATTATAGCTGTATTTATAAGAAGGTGATCAGGCCACTCCTATACTTTCAATGTGCTGAAATTTTATGTAAAATGAATTTAAACAGTGTAACAAAACAGATTTATATTGTAGTGATTTCTTGTAAATTATACTGACTATACCAGTATCTTTAAAGGCAGACATGTAGCCAGGCTGGTGTGGCTCAGTGGTTGAGTTTTGACCAATGAAACAGGAGGTTATGGTTGGATTCCCAGTCAGGGCACATGCCCAGGTTATTGGCTCGATCCTCAGGGTGGGGCATGCAGGAGGCAACTGATCAGTGATTCTCTTTCATCACTGATGTTTCTATCCCCCTTTCTCTCCTTTCCTCTCTGAAATCAATAAAAATATCTATATTTAAAAGCCTAAGTGACCATTCAACTGTTCAACCGGTAGCTATGATGCACTCTGATCACTAGAGGGCAGATGCTCAACTCACAGACATGGAAACATGGAACAGACTGGTGAATCTCAGAGGAAAGGGGGGTAGGCAGGAAGAGATTAACCAAATATCTTATATGCATACTAGAGGCCCAGTGCACGTATTTGTGCACCAGTGGGGTCCCTCGGTCTGGCTTGTGGGGATTGGGCTGAAATTGGCAGTCTGACATTCCCCGAGGGGTCCCAGGTTGTGAGAGGGCACAGGCCAGGCCGAGGGACCCCACCAGTGCACGAATCCATGCACCGGGCCTCTAGTATTTTAATAAAAGACAGACATGCAGTTACACAGGCTCTTCTTATAGCACTTGAGAGCTAGACAGAGTTTAGAGCTGTAATGGAGTTCATTAGCCATATCTTTTTCTTCATAGCCACCTAGAGCTGTGGTCGGCAAACTGCAGCTCGCGAGCCACATGTGGCTCTTTGGCCCCTTGAGTGTGGCTCTTCCTAAGCCTTAGGAGTGTCCTAATTAAGTTAATAACAATGTACCTACCTATATAGTTTAAATTTAAAAAATTTGGCTCTTAAAAGAAATTTCAATCATTGTACTGTTGATATTTGGCTCTGTTGACTAATGAGTTTGCCGACCACTGACCTAGAGTAATTATGTGCCCATATGCAATGAATATCACAGTGAGGCATCATCTGCTCCTTCAAAATCTAATCTCATTCTTCCCAGTTCATAATGAACTCAATTGAAGTTCACTTTAAGATGAGTGTTCATTTGGGCTTGCCATAGTCTCCTCCCATTACTGCTGCAGGCTGGAAAAGGGAAAGCAATATTCATTAAGTTCCTGTAACGCCCTAAGTTTAATACTTATGGTTTACATACTTCATCTCACTTAATTCTCCATCAAAGCTGTTACTGACATTTCACAGGTGAGCACAGGAGGCTCAGAGAAGTTGAGCAGCACGATTGCTGAGCGGTGGGCCAGCGGTTGGGTGACTGCAAACCCTG